TTCCTAACATCTCTCCTGAATGGTCTAGCCCTAACTCTCAGACTCTGCCCCTCAGTTCTAGAATCCCCAACCACTGGAAATAGTTTGTCTTTATTTATCTTGTCTTTTCCTGTTAATATCTTGAAGCCTTCAATCAGATCAGCCCTTAACTTTCTAAATTCTAGAGAAAAAAAGCACAATTTTTCCTTATAACATTATCCCTTAAATCCAGGTATCGTTCTCGTAAAACTGTTGTACTCCCTACCTCGATCCATGTTCCTAATTATGTACAGGAGAGAGTATAGGTAGAAAAACTAAATGAGTGCACTGAGACTCTATTGCACTGTGCGGTGCATACCCTATATAAACAACATACCAAGTTTCCTGCAATAGCACCCTCAACCCACAACCTCTAACAACTAGAAGAACAAACTCCCCCCCAAGCCACTCACCCTCCTGACTCGGAAATAAATCACCATTCTTTCACTGTCAGAATCCTGGCACTCCCTCCCCATAGACGCTCTGGGGCTGAGCCTGCAGCACATGGACTGCAATTGTTGAAGAAGGCAGCTCACTGACACCTTCCTCATTTCAATTAGAAATGACCAAGAAATACTGGCCCAAGCAGACTCGTTAATATACAATGGATAAATGATGACAAAATTAGATATTTTACATCAGTTTCCATAGTTTACTCGGAAGCCTGATTTAAAATTCACTGCTGCTGGATTGTTTAGGTTTGGGAATCCTGGCAACAAAAGGTGCTGGCTCCCAGAGTCTCTTTTAGCTCCCACATCACCCAAGGCAGCTACCAGATCTCTGGAGGCCCAATTGCCACACTTCCCCAACCTCTTCATTCTCCTCATCTAAACCCAAACTCCAGACTTCCTCTAGTACTATAGTCCTCCCAAATGTAGTCTCCCCGAACAACCGTAATCTCTAGCCTCTCCCACTTCCTAGTTGGAAGGCTGACCGCCCCTTCACACTTGCCTGAAGTGCGATCCATGCCTTCCTGGCTGTAGCTTTCTGCCACTCATGATCCCTCTTACCCCACTGGCCAGACTCTCCTTTTGGTTATGTGCTGGGAACTGCTGAGTATTCCTGGTGCTCTGCCATTATGAACAGCTAAGTCTACATTCCTGTGTTCTTTGGGTGCTTTAAGTCCCACCCTTACCACCTGCAAATAGGTAGACAGCTATCTCTCTGAAATAGACTGATCTTTAATTAACAAAGGAATCAGGGGTTATCAGGAATGTGAACTTGAGGATAATCAAATCTGCCATGATCTCTTTGAATAGCAGTGCAGACTTGATGGGCTGAATGGCCCGTTTCTGCTCCTATGTCTCATGAACATATGGCGTAAGTGTCAGGGCAGTGAGTTTACTTTGTATATTAAAGTTAGGAAGCAATTCTTGTTTCTTCTGGATTTGGGAATTTCCAGTCAATTTTAACACGACTCACACTCACTGTCACACGTGTTTTCCAATGCTACCTTGGAGTGTTCGGTGTTTTGGTGAATCAGGCTTTTTGATTTAAGATGATTTTAGCTATTTAATGTAGCACTTTCACCTCAGTTTGCATAATTGTGGCTTTGGATTCCATTCCAGAGACCCGAGCGCCATAATGCAGGATGATACTCCAGAGCCTTACAGAATGAATGAATGGTTTTATTGTCACGTGCTTTTTACAGTGAAAAGACACAGTAAAATACAATGAAAAGCTTCCACTGTTGCCATGATCCGGTGCCATTTTGAATAGTTTAAAAATAATAAAAAAAAATGAAAAGATACAGTGTAAAGAGAGTCCATAATTCCTCCTCCACCGTTTCACCATTGCCACTGCTGGACCCAGCCAATGTCAAAGGTGCTACTCCTCAGGTGACATCTTTCCCCTCTGGGCCTATCTCGCTGATGTCGCCTCTGCTGATGTAGCAGCCAACACAGGGTCTGGTGTTTGCACCTCCGACAGCCATCTCCTCGACACTGTCCACCAGAGTCCCGCTCCAGACCTGATGAAGCCACCTTCCTACTGTCTTCCTCATTAATAGCAGCAAAAACTAAAGAGAGAAAAGAAACGAGAAAAGACGAAGAACAAAAGAAAAGCAGATGGAGAAACAGTACTACAGCGCTGGAAGTGCTGGTTTTTGGAACAGTCTTTAAACCAACAGCTGGTTGTAAAACTTACCATGAGACTATTTTACCTCAGACTTTCTTCTCAGTCTTCTGATCATTTTTTTTAACCTATTGACCAACACAACTAATCCAATTATCTGGTCATCTTCATATTGCTATTTGGGGAATCCTGCTGTGCACAAATTGGCTGTTGTGGTCACTTTAAAAATATTTCTTTGGTGATAAAGAACTTTGAAATTTCTTGAGGTCATGAAAAGCACTATTTAAATACATAATGTTCTTTTCCAGTATCTTAAATCACTTTTGTGGTTTGTTTCATTTTCAGAAATGAATTATTGGGACATCCAGAATTTTGTATACCTAACCAATCAACTTTAAAAATCCTGTCACAGTCTCCACAATTTGCTAAATTCCACAGCACACATGGCCACAGAAGGAAATGGATTTTACTGCAGTTGTACAGAGCCTTGGTGGGACTATATCAGGAGAACTGTGTACACTATTGGGCTCAGTGCTTGAAAAAAAGAATAAAGCAGTTAAGAGAAGGTTCGATTTACTCTGTCCTGGGATGAAAAGCTTACAATATGAAGAAAAAATTGAATCTTTACCCATTGGAATGTAGAAGAATGGGAAGTTACTTTATTGAAATGTACAATGCCTTGAGGGCATACAATGGTAGAGTGGATACGAGGTGGATGCTTCATTCCATAGGGCAGACTATACGTGGTGACAATGTTCCAAAGTAAGCAGTCTCTCTTTTAAGATGGGGATGAGAGGACTTTTTTTCTCACATGGTCATTATTATATGGAATTCTGATCCTCAGAAGGTAGCAGAAGCTGGCTGTTTATTGGGGGCTGAGTTAGATTCTTGACAGACCAGGGAGATAAGGGTTATTGGGGGCAGACATGGCAGTGGAGTTAAAACCACAACTAGATCAGCCACGTTCTTACTGTATTGGGCAGAAAGGCTGAACAGCCATAAGTTTCTAGGTCCTATGTTCCTATCAGCTGCCCTTATCCTTCTAGGTAGTGGAGTTCATGGGTTTGGAAGCTGCTTTCTGAGGAGTCTTGGTAAGTTACTGTGGTGCATGTTGTAAATAGTATTGGTGCCTCTGTGTATTGGTGGTGAAGGGATTGAATATTGAAGAATATGGGTAGGGCACCAGTCAAGTGAGCTACTTTGTCCTGGATGGTGTTGAGCTTCTTGAATTATGTTGAAGCTGCACCCAAATGGGTAAGTGGAGAGTAGTCCATTACACGCTTGACTTGTGCCTTGTAGACAGACTTTGAGAAGTCAGGAGGTGAGCTACTCACTTCAGTGTACCCAACGTTAACCTATACTTTTAGTCACATTGTATTTGTTGCTAGTCCAGCTCTGATTCTGGTTGGTGATAACCCCCAGGATATTGATAACGGGGGATTCAATGGGCTGGAGGCCCAGAGCAGAGTGGGATGGCCAGCGTGCCTGGAGTGGGGACAGTTGTTGGACTGGGGACTGATGTGTGCAGTCAGCAGCTTGCAAGCCCGGTCAGAATACATGTGGAAGTCACCAGTGTTGATCTACTGCAGGCCCTTTATAGAGATTGTAATGTTTATCTTTTTAACTCTAGTTCTTATTTTTCTAACTTATACTATGAATAACTGTAAGATAATGTAACTTTTTTTCTTTATTTGTCTATTTTGTACCTAAGATTTGTACCTGGGTACATTGTACTTAAGATGGCACCTTGTGGGTCGACAGTGTAAATTTTTCATTGGACTCCTGTACTTGAGTACACGTGACAATAAACCTTAATTCTAGTTCGAAAACCAAGGGGAAGTGCTTAGATTCTTTACATTTGTCATTGCCTGCCATATATATATGTGGCATGAATGTTATTTAACACATCACAAATATAATATCACTATTTACAGATGCCTCCCATTCCCAAAAGGACAACATTATTGTGCAATCCTCAGTGAGATAAACCCCCTCAACAGACAATGACAGCGTGTATTATGGTGTAACAGAAGAGAGAGGAAATTAATGGGAGTGAGAGATAAACTCAAAACTCAATGTCCCAATGCAAAACATTTCAAACTGAAGCCCAAATATAGCCCAGCCTGGGGACAAGATGTACAAACAGAGGATATTAAGAAAATAAGTGGAAGACCCCGTGGGATATCCAAAACAGAATCAAAAACACAGAAAAACGTGAGCTTGAGGAACAGTTCAGCAAAGTAACTGGAGCAGCAGATTTTGGAGAAATGTTTTGGTGAAATCCCCGTTTGATTGGCAATGGGAATTCTGTATACATGGGGCAGGAGCTATGGAATAACACACCGAACTAGTCCTCCCCTGTTAACGCCGTTTGTGAGGATTTTAAAGTGAGTATATCTGTGTGACTACAGACCATCAAAAGTGTTTTATTTTAGCCTTGAGTTATTTTTTGTTGTCCCCATGAAATATGCAAACACCGAATGCAAATGAATGTTCATAGAGAGAAGAAAAAAAGCAGAAATTGTTGGAAAAGCTCAGCAGGTCCGGCGGTAATGTATAGAGAGAAATCAGAGTTGACATTTCGGGTCGAGTGACCCTTCCTCAGAACTTTTCCAGCAATTCTGTTTTTTTTATTTGTTTCTGATTTCCAGCTATCTGAAGTTCTTTCGTATTTTCTCCTGAATGATCACAGAGGCTGCGTTCATGTGGCTAGTCGTTTCGGAACAAAATGGGAAACTTTTACATCTACAAAAACACACATACAAGAGATAAGTTTTTTAAAAAGGGGGGGGGGGGTTGGGTGTGGGGAGTGGAAGAGAGGAGGATCCATGCTGCTAACACCATACAAGGCGAGAGCACCAGGGATTGGATGACGTGTGTTGGCCACACAATAAAACACACAGAATCCTCGGAAATGACTCCACTTCTGTTTTGAGGATTAATCTTAAACAGCGAGGGCGAGTCTCGGCAGGAGGAAGCTGTATTCCTGTGCAGCGAGCAGCCGGCTCCTCTCTCTCTCTCTCTCACACACACACACTCACACTCACACTCTCTCTCTCTCTCTCTCACTCGGGGGACCCGACCTTATTATTTCGCCCCCAGTTTCCCTCAGAAATTACTGGCTCACCCCGACACCCCACCCCTGCCTTGAATTCTCCACCATGTCCCAGTTTCGGATCAATCTCATCGGACCAGCGCCCTGGGGATTCAGGCTGGTCGGAGGGAAAGACTTTGACCAGCCGCTGACCATCTCTCGGGTAAGGAACTGCACTGTCTCGTCTCACTGTTGCATTCCTGTTTATTTCGGAAACTGACAGGGGATCTGCTCATCCCCGAGATGGGGGTGAGGGGTGGAGGAGAATTAGACCCCACTACCTGTCCCTGGGGAGGGGTGTGTGTGGGCATGGGGCTAAAACCTTGTTACTAAATTCCAGATTGGAAATTAAAATCTAACAAAATTGAAGTTTTCTGGCCGTATTGTACCTGGTTGTAGCTTTACCTGCCGCCTTGGGCGTGACTGGCAGTAAAACTGTGTCTCTAACCTGTGTCTGGCTGAGGACAAGAGGGTGGTCATGGATGGTACATGATCAGTAAAGGGTTGGTTGGTGAATTCCAATGTTTGCAAGGAGAGAATAATTTTTGGGGAGAGGGTGTGTTTGTGATGGGCGTGGAGCAGAAGTGGATTTTTCCTTTACATTCATTCACAGGGTGTGGGTGAGTTCGACATTTATTACCCATCTCCCATAAAACAGGGGCTGAAGGTTGTCTCGCTAACAGCTGTCCCGCAGTTTTAACTCAAGTGAAAATCAGGTCAAGGACACAATTATGGGGAATGGGGGCTGGAGCAAACAGGCTGTCCTTGTTGATCACCTTTTGATGTTGAGGTGGATTTATTTTCTCCTCAGTATTATTGGAAGTCGAAATACAGATAAATATCTTTATCATTTACTGACACCAGTTGAGAAGGTTTTGCATCATTAAGATGTATTCTTACAGATTGCAAGCAGGCCATTCCCACAGAAAGAGATGGGGAAAGTTTAAATGTTTATTTTTCCTAATGTTTGTCAGTTATTAACTTATTAACAGATAAGATTCTGCAGGGACTTGATTAGGTGAATGTAGGGAGGATAAAACCAGGTGAGATGGTTTAGTAACAGGCCTTCCTTTAAAGATGGATCTGGGAAGAAGCTTTGCTCTCAGAGGGTTGTTAGTCTGTGGAACTTTCTTCCTGAGGGAACAATGGGCTCTGCACCACTGAAATTTATTTAAGGCTGAGTTAGATTGTTGTTGGACAAGGGAGTCAAAGGTTCCACAGGGTCAGACAGAAAACAGTAGGACCACAACCTGATCAACCATGATCCTATTGAATGGTGCAGCAGACCTGAAGGGCTGAATGGCCTACTCTTGCTCCCATTCCTATGGCTCCCATGTTGCTATAACACTGTCTTCTGAATAATAACTTGAATAATTTACAAAGGGGCAATCTTAGACAGTCAGAACTCTCTCAAAATGGGATTGCATTCATGAATGACAGAAACAATGCAGGGTGAGGGGAAAGACCTACTTAGTTGGCTGTACCAATGAGATAGCAGAGGAATGATGGGCCAGACAGTGCTCTGTGCTGTTTTGTTCCATGATAGCTGTGTAAGTAGGCCTCCAGGATTGATCCCGAGTAAAAGACTAGGTGCTTACCAACAAAAGGTAGGACGAGAGATCAAATGAGAAGTGCTGGTGACATGCTGGCTTGTGGTTAGGGATTAGCTCACTGCACTGCCTGAGGATTCTGGTTAACTTGCTTGCCTATCCCCGACCGCAGCTGTTGTCTGACATGCAAAGTTGAAGAGAAAATATTTGTGCTGAGAATGACCGACTCTGTGAAATGCAAACAAAGTGCTAGAGAAATACTGTACTTTAGGAGAGAGAAACAACGTTAATGTTTCAAGTCCAATGACTCTTCTTTGGGACATCCATGAAATGCAGATCTCTTAAAGGAAGGTTTGGATTGTGATCCCCAGGTTACAATGAAGTACTTTTGAAATATATACTTGCTGCTGAAAAGTGGGGAATGTGACAGTTGGTTTGTGCAAGGTTCCACAATTAACAACGTAATAATGACTAGCTAATCTCTTTTAGTAATATTACTTGACAGGTTCTTATTGGTTGAAACACTAGGAAAAACCATTGACTCACTGCTTCATCTAGTGCTGTGGCATCCTTTACATGCACCATAGGATTGGGGAAGGAAGACTCTTAGTTTCCTATCAGTGAAACTATAAGATACTGAGAGCAGGAAGTATCCATGGGGAGGGAAACACAGTCAATGTTTCAGGTCAATGTTCTTCCATTGGTTTACTATCTCACCAGAAAGACAGCACCTCTTTCAGTGCAGCACTCCCTCAACAATGCACAGGAGTGTCAGCCGGGGATTTTTATTCAAGTTTGTGGAAAGGACTTTGAACTGATAACTTTCTGACTCAGCAGTGAGGGTGCTGCTGTGTGTCAAATGAGGTAAATGGTTTACATAATAGGCACAGAGTGTGCTCTGTGGAGGCAGCGAAGAACATAACCTGGAATCATTCAAGGCTGATGTCAGAAATGTTGCCTAGGCCATACTGACTTCACTGAGGTTTTGATCTCCATGAACCTTCCATTATCTGACATTACGTTCTGCAGGAGCAGGAATGTTCTTCCATTGAATGTTGAAGATTGAAGCCGTTCTCTTTCAATTCCCATCGCAGACTCTGCTCCCTTGCCTCATTGACTCCATCTCTCTCCCTGGCAACACTGATTCTGACTGTTCACAACCTTGCTGTTATATTTGACCCCAAGGTGAACTTTCAGCTATGTTACTGAATTGTCCTGGGGCAGTAGGATGCCCATTTGGTTCATAACCGTTGCGTAATTTTCACTAAGACCACCTATTTCTACCTCTGTAAAATCACTTACCTCTGCTCCTGTTTCACATCCTCGGCTGTTGATATCCTCATCCAGGCCTTTGTTACTCCAGAATTACTTATTCTAATGGTGTCCAGGCCAGACTCGCGCTTTCTATTCTCCGTAAACTTGGACTTAACTAAAACTCCACTGTCTCGCTTGCATCCCATTCATCCTGGGCCCATGTGTTCGCTGATTTGTATTGACTCTCAGTTTGGAAAAGCCTCAAATTTCAAACTCCCATCTTGTGCTTTAATCCCTCCATAGCTCATCCCTCCCTATTTACATATCACCCTCAGCACTAGGATCCTTCAAAAATGTCTGCACTTCCCCAATTATGGCCTCTTTCATATTCCCAATTTTCATCATTGTATCATCAGCAGCTGTACCTTCAGCTGCCTACATTTTCAGTTTTGGAATCTCCTGTGACATCAAAGCAATCAGATTACTTTAGGATAACACAGTGTGGAGCTGGAGGAACACAGCAGGCCAGGCAGCATCAGAGGACCATGAAAGCTGACGTTTTGGGTTGGGACCCTTCTTCAGACCCTTCATTTTTCTGAGGAAGGGTCCTGACCCAAAACGTCAGCTTTCCTGGTCCTCTGATGCTGCCTGGCCTGCTGTGTTCCTCCAGCTCCACACTGTTTTATCTCAGACTCCAGCATCGGCAGTTCTTACTATCTTTCAGATTATTTTAGGAACCCATCTGTGCTACTTATGTTCTTAACGGAAAGAAAATAGCCACCTTTTGGTTTCTTTGTGACTGAATCCCCAGATTAATCTTAAACTCCCTGTGAAATGAATTATGTCAATATTGATTCAACTGCACCTCTCAGAATAGGTACCAAGTCCCAACATTGCGAGCAATGCTTCCTTTAGAAATATGATACGGGCAGGGAGTGCCAGTTCAGTTTTTTTTTGTTTTGAGCTGTCCTTGCCTTTAGTCTGAATTAATTTTCATCATATTTTGAGGTCACACGATGGCAAGGATGGGGCATGGAAAAGAAATAAGGAAAAAAAGCAAAGACAGAGTGTTCTGAAGAAGTCATACCAGAGTCAAAACACTAACTGTGTTTCACTCTCCACAGATGCTGCCAGACCTGTTGAGTTTCTCCAGCATTCTCTGTTCTTGTTAGGGAAGACTTTTTGGTAGATATCAAACTATTTACGTCAATGAAATATGAAGTATTTTTATGGTGCAGTCAAACTTGTTAGACCTCAGTTGGCGTATTGTGTACAGTTGTGGTCGCTATATTATAGGAAAGATGTGAATATATTGGAGAGAAACTTCAGTGATGAGGATAGGTTGAGGAAGTTGGGACTGTTCTCCTTGGAGAGAAGAAGACTGAGTTTTCAAAATCGTGAGCAGGCTGGATGGATAGATAGGGAGAAGCTTTTTCTGTTTGTAAAAGAAACCCTATCAGAAGAGTATAGATTTAAAATGTTGTGTAAACAAAGCAAGGATGATGTGAGCAAAAAAAATTATTACAGTGAATGGTTAGGGTCTGGAGTGAATTGCATGAAAATGTGGTGGAGGCAGGTTCAAGAAGGCATTGGATGGTTTAGAAAAGGCAGGAGGTTGGCATTAGGTAATAGAGCTGATGTCGGCACGATGGGCCAAATAGCCTCTTTCTGTACCATAACAAACTGAAGATAATGACAGATCACAGAATTATCATCCTTCTTCCCATCCTCAATCCTTTATAATTAGTTTTTTTGCCCAGATAACACTTTGGTCTTTGAAATATCAATATCTTAACCTTTTCCTTGCTAATCTCTTTGGATGGTCGTGCTGTACTTACTTCCTTTATTTTTGTCTCCTACATATTGGATCAAAAAAGCTTCTTATGCAGTTCTTGGAGTAAATCTAGGGTTACTGGTTTCATCTAATTGTTATTAGTTGGAGCTGCATGTAGGTTTCATAATGGCCTTCAGCAAGACAAGTATTCAGATGACAAATCCCCTTCAGGATGTGGTTTTCACTGGAATGTTGAGCCTATGAAGCACACATTTTGTTGATTGCATGGTGTGAAGGCACATGGTGTGAAGAACTCAGCTGAGTCCTGTTACTTCTGAATTGTAGCCCAACGTACACATGTACGCACACTTACGCATGCACCCTCATGTGCACACACATGCACTAACGCATATATACGCATGCATGTGCTGAGTTCTGGCATTTCTGAATTGCAGCCCAATGTACACATGTACACACAGATGTATACACACACTCACATGTGCACACACACTGTCTCAGTTTCTCTCACACACACTCAGATTCTCACACATAATCACAAACACACATACGTGTACTCATGCACTC